GACTTTAGACCCAGAGAGGGAGAGGGCTGTGTGCTAACAACTGGGGGGGTGGGGGACAGGCTTGCAGGGTATACCCTTTGATTGGTTGATGATGCATGGAGGGGATACAATGAATGTAAAACTAATGTTCTCCCATGTAAACAATCATATAATTAACAATAAAACATTTTAAAAAATACACACACACACACAATTGTCCCTAATATAGATTCATCTCCTAAGAAAATCTATTGATTAATAATTTCCTCTTCTTAATACCAAGTAACATTGCCAACATCTTTTCCAAATGTCTAGCCAAATTATGTTTAGGATTTTGGTGATTGTTGATATAAAACTATGAAAAAAAATTAAACCAAAAGAATCGTTGGGATCGATTTCTCCAATGTGTATTCATTTCCACTGGTACCTACTCTACCGTTTCATCTGTTTCTCTTGCTGCTTGGTTTGACTTTTTTCTTAAAGGTGAACTGGATTTCCCAAGAGCAATCATAAAGTTTTTAATAATTAAAAAAATAAAGACATAAGGTACTCGTTTCTTTGGAAATTACATTCGGGATTAGGTTGCTAAGAAACCATTTTCTTACTAAAGACCCAAACCAATGCTTTGCTGTTGTTGCTAAGTGCCCGTTGAGTTGGTTTCAATTCATAGTGACCCTGTAAAGGATTTCCAAGGAGCGGCTGGTGAGTTTGAATCACCAACCAATGCTTTGTCTACCTTAAACCAGAATTTTCTCTCTCCCCTACAGGTGGGTTTTGAGTGGAGGGAGGTGGGAGTTAAGGACAGGGAGGTCTCCTCATTTATAGGTGAATGGCTCAAGACAAATCCACTCCAGGGCCAATCTTTAACCGTCTTTATTTCAAAACATACTTTCATGGTGCTAACAGGGAAGTGGCACTTTTCACAGAGACAGCAAGACCCAAGGAAGAGACGGCTGTGGAGCTAGGTCTCTGGGCTGAGGATGAGCCCCACTGCTCCTTAGTGCTTAGTGTTGGGACGTTTCCCTGCTTGAGAAAGGAACTGACTTAGATCACCGCCCTTTATATACACACCAAGTTTTCAAAAAGAAAAATATGATACTGATGCCTCCAAAACCAAGTATATCATTGGTGGTGGTGGTGGTGGTGGTGGTGGTAACTCTGGAACAGGATTAGGTCATTCTGTCCCACCATTCCCTGCTGTACAGACTAACTGCTGAGCATGGGGTTAAGGTGGGGGCTGGAGGCTTCTGAACCAGAACTTGGTCACCAGCAGAAACAGTATATATACAGAAACGTATATATACGTATATATCAGCCTGAATTCCACGCCTGTTACTGCTGATGTATATATATATATATATATATACCAAGAAAGAAGTATATGCGAGTGTCTCAGGCCTCTACCCCTACCGTGGTTTGCCATAAAGTTCATCACTTTGAAAATAGTTACTCATTTGACTTGTACGTGAAAAGAGAATAAAATAACACAGAATCATGTCTAAAAGGTTAGATTTACAAAAGAAATTGTAGTGCTCCATCTCCTGAACCGCCAAGTGCTGCCTGACATAAATAAGGTCATGGGTGAGACAACTCTGCCTTCCTGTTTAAAATGGAAGGTTTTACAGAGTACCTGAGCTTTGGGGATATGTTAAGAAATTCAGGGGCTGGCAAGGAGCCAGTTATCTCAAATATCGGTCTGTTGTGTGTAGCTACTCTATTTAATGTGTAACATACATACTTGGAATACACATACTCTGGAAGTAACTGTCCCTGTAATTCAATGAGGAGGATCAAAGAGTACCTTTAGAATTCTTATTCTTTCTCTTTCATCAGGCTAGAACAATACATACATTCTAAAGCCCAGGAGAAGGCTTCTCCTTGATGTAGCTCACCCTTGGCTATCTCTAAGGGGTTATCCCCTTCAGATAGTACACCCACTTCACTCCAGCCTCGCTGCCTTCCCCAGGAGAACAGGACACAATCAGCTTGCTGGTGATGGGTGTTTTGCTGCCAGAAGGGTTTCCTTCAAAGTAGATAGTAATGTTGTTGATCTTCTTGGGCCGCACAGTGTCTCCAGCGCGAATGGTGAAGGCTGGGTTCTCCACGATGAAGGAGAAAGTCACCGTACGGAAGAAAACATTCTTGAAGGGGATGATGATGTTGTAACCAGCTCGAATCAAAAAGGGTCCCTGGGGCTTGGGGGGCAGAGCCATTCCAAATAGGGGGATGGTATACTCCCCGCCGGTGAGTGAAGACAGGATCAGGGTACCCTTGCTCTCACCCAGGTGACTGGGCTCAAAGATGACTTCTATGTTGACCTCCGTGCCTCCCGGGGCTCCTGGAGCTGCGTTAATGACTCTTTCCACGTGGAAGTCTGGACAGTCCGTCTGCAAGGGGAACAAGCGCACTTGGCCCACAGAGAATCCTGAAGAGCATGCCTACCAGGAACCCAATTCCATCCCCAGCCCCTCCACTCGTGGACATCAAGCCAGTTAGGCTTGTGTGAGGCTGGGCAGGTTTCACAGCTGTACCCTTGTAACCACCTTGAAGAGTAGGTATCTCTACTTAGCATCCCTCTTTCACTGTGAAGAAACTGAGGTGCATAGATGTTCAATGACTTGCCTAAAGCCACAGAGCTGGGTTATGTTGGTGCTGCTCCCCCATGTCCAGACTGACTTTCCTTCCATGCACATGGAAGATGGAGCTTTCTGGCTCCTCCTGAAAGGGATCACTCTACGCAGTGATTCCTTTTTCTTACAGTTCCAGCCTCTCACATCTTTCCCTCCCTCTGGAACCAAGACTGTAAACGTTTGGGACGTGGTGTTTATACAGCCTCTCGCCACTTCTGTTTCTCTAGAGGACGCTGACCAAGACATGTGGTTTGGCCCTGCGGAGAATCTTTGTTCAACAGGCTGTGAGTGCAAGTGATGTATGCAACCTCTGCCTCTCTCCCAGTCTGCTTCTACCCAGGCTGTTATTTGAGCCAGGGAGAAACTTCTTTGTTGTTATTTTGGGTTTGTTTCCATAGTAAAACCTGAATTTCAATTGATATTGTTGTTGTTAGGTGCCATTGAGTCAGCAATTATTCAGAGCGACCCTATGCACAACAGAACGGAACACTGCCCAATCCTCGGCCAACCTCACAACCGTTGCCACGCTTGAGCCCACTGATGCTGCCATCTTGTGTATCCACTTCACTGGGGGTCTTCCTCTTTTTACTCTACTTTGAGGAGGCAGCTCTTCCCTGGGAGCATTTTGAGTGCCTTCCAACCTGAGAGGCTCATTTTCTGGCACTATATCTGACAGAGATTTTCTGCTATTCATAAGGTTTCAATTGACATAGTAGCTAGTATACATGGAATACTTACTATGGGTCAGGCTTTGACCCTTATATGTTGTTGTTAAGTGCTATTGAGTTGGGTCCAACTCATAGCAACCCTAGATTCAAGGACTGGCTGGTGGGTTTGAACTGCCAACCTTGCACTTAGTAGTCCAGTGCTTATCCTAAAGCACCACACCAGGACTCCATATATGCTAGCTATGAAAACTGCCTTTTGTGCATTTAAAAAAACCCTCCCAGCAATTCTAGAAGGGCAGGGGTATTAGCTCCACTTACAGATAAGCGTAGAAAGCTTAAGTAAAGAAGTCACACAATGAATAAATGATGAAGCCAGCATTGAAGCACAGGCTTGTTCGATTCCTCAGCATCTACTAATAACCACTGAACTAGTCTGTGCCCTTCACTGACTACCCGGCAAGCCGTGGGAAGTGGAATTGTTCCCATGGAGCTTCTGAAACTAGAAAGTAAGTAAAGGAAGAACTCAGGCCTGGAATGATTTGTCTCCAGCTGGGAGTTTCTAGGCCAGATTCAGGCCTCTGAGACAGGGGTCACTGTGACAAGCACCTGACTCTCGCTGAGTTTCTGACTCCTGCACCCTCTGTGGCTCCCTCTCACTGTTTTTGACCCCAGGCTCCAGGCCAGGGGAGAGCAAGGAAAGACTTGTGGGGCTGCTCACCCTGCAGAGGTATTCTGTCTTCTGCCGGGTATAATTGGTGAACTTGGCAAAGAGGCTCTGGCTGTTGCCAATGACAGTCTGGAAGTGGACAGGCTTTTCAGGCAGGGCAGGACTGGCCTTCAAATTGAGCTCATACAGGTAGTAACCCAATTCACTGTTGTGCAAAGAAAGTCTCCCGAAGGTTTCTCCAGCTTTCAGGGGTTGGAACTCAAAGGAGAATATGCCCTGAAAGAGAAGGCAGAGGTTCCTGTGAGACTGAGAGTCCAGCCCAGCCCTGGCCTCCCAGTGTCCTGCCCAAAGCTCACAGCAGGGTGGTGGCAGAAATGGCGCTGCACAAGCAGATGCTCATGGTAATCTGGAATCCAGGGACCTTCTGTTCTAACAGGCCCAACTTCCCTCTTCCACAGCCTTTGGGTTTCTCTGGCCCCAGTGTTTCTCTATCTGGAATTTTCTGGATCTAAAAACAGGTACTCGAGTTCCTCTCCTGGGCAGAACATTTATGGAGGTGGGTCTTCAGACAGGCAGTGCCTTCTTGCTCACAGACAGACTCAGACCAGCTTCCTGGTCTCTGTCTTCATTTCGGGAAGACATTGTCCTTACATCTTTCATTCTGCCACTTAGGGTATCATCAACACATTTATTTCCAAAGCTTAAAGCTCTACCTCATCTTTTTAAATGACTACATAATACCCGCACTGAAGGGAGTAAACCATGATTTGCTTTGCCAGACTTCTACACCAGGGTCTTTGTGTTGTTTCCCATGTTTTGATATTATAAGCAAACTCTTTGGTTTGGGTTGATTTTGCTAGAAGAACAAACAAATCTGTCTTGGAACAAGTATAGTCAGACTGTTCCTTAAAAGTGAGGATGATGAGACTTCGTCTCTCATTTTTGGACATGTCAGAAGGGATCAGCCCCTGGAGAACAACATCAGACTTGGTCAAGTGGAGAGTCAGTGAAAAAGAGGAAGCCTTCCAGTGAGATGGATTGAAACAATGGCCTCAACATTGGGCTCAAGCGTAACAATTGTGAGGATACAGCAGGACTAGGCAGGGCTTCATTCTGTTGTGCACAGGATCACTAGGAGTTTTAATACATATGTGTACATAAATGCACATCTATATTATTTATATTTTCCTATCTAGATTTTTAAGGCGCCTTGGTAGAATAGCACTTAAGCACTCAGCTACTAACCAAAAAGTCAGTGTTTTGAGTCCACCATCCACTTGGCAAGAGTAAGATGTGGCAGTCTGCTTCCATAAAGATTGTTGCTGTTGTTAAGAACTGTGGAGTCGGTTCTAACTCATGGTGACCCTGCACAGGGTTTCAGAGGCTGTAAATCTTTACAGGAGCAGAAAGCCTCATCTTTCTCCCATGGAACAGCTGGTAGTTTTGAACTGCCGACCTTGAAGCTAGTAGTCCAATTTGTAACCACTACGCTACCAGAGCTCCTTCCATAAAGATTACAGCTTTGGAAATCCTATAGGGCAGTTCTTTCCTGTCCTACAGGGTCACTATGAGTCAGAACAGACTTGATAGTGGTGAGTCTGGTTTAATGTAGACAGTAGTTTACAATGAAAAATGTTAAAATACAATAAAGGACCTGGAGATGCTGTATGAGGAATAAAATGGAATTTAGACTGTGGAGGTGAACGAAGACCTAGAGTGGGAGGGAGGGAAACGAGTCAGGTGGGTGGAAGTTGGAGAAATAGAAGAAAAATGCTGATAGGATCACTAGTAAGGCGGGTGAGAGTTTGGAATGATCAACTGATGGAAAGAACAGAAGGAAAATTCATCTCTCTACTGTCTGTCATTCTAGGCCACCTCCCCGCAGCCACTGTCATAGGGTTCTGTGTGCTCTTCCTAACACTGACTGTGCATAAGCAAGCATACAGACGTGTGTGCGTACAGACTCGACACAGTATTATGTATCTTGCTTCTCTTTTCACCACATACATGCTATGCTACTTGTATAATTAGCACAAACGAGACAAATCTTTTTAGTTTGATTAAGGCAAATAGTCAAATAATAGAAACAAGGTTCATGATAAAACCAAAAAACCAAAGCCACGGCCATCAAGTTGGTTCCAACTCATAGTGACCCTACACAGGGTTTCTGAGACTAAATTTTTAAACCTCATTTTTCTCTCATGGAGCAGCTGGTTGGTTTCCTAAGATTCATGATGTTACTGTTGTTGTTAAGTGCTGTTGAGTCAATTTCGACTCATAACAACCCTGCATAGGGTTTCCAAGGAGTGACTGATGGGTTTGAACCACCAGCCTTGTGGTTAGCAGTCCAGCGCTTATCCTACAGCACCACACTAGGACTCTAAGATAGAGAAGTCCATTTTCCCTGCCTGAACCAAACCTCTATGGTCCCCAGTTCATGTGAGGACTTTGGCAGGAGAGGAAAAGAGAGGACCTGCATGTGATAGCCTCATGTCTTTCTGACTGCCACCAGGGTCTGGAGGTCCCACAAGAAGGAGCCCCTGTCAGAGACACAGAGGACGCTGGAAGCCTGGTCATACCTCGGAGTTGGCTGGCACAGCAAACTGGGAGGGCAGGCTGATATCAGGCACCCTGCAATCTGTGGAGAAGGTCACCGAATAGGGCAGTGGGTTTTCCAGCTTGATGGAGGCCGATGTACTCTGCCGGACTGTGCTCACCATCTCAATGGTTTTGATGATGCCTGAAGGGATGACCCTGAAGCTCACCGTGTAGAACAAGAATTCGTTGGTCGTCTCATTTCTAAAGATCACCTGAATTCGCAGGGAGAGGGGGACGAAGCAGGCCAGAGCAGAGGAGTTAGCTAACATCCTCTCCTGTTGACAGGAGACCCTTCCAATTGCTAGTGTGGCTGGGGCCTCTGGGAATCAAGTTTGTAAGGCTAACTTTCTGAGAACCGCCACAGTTTTCCACAGTAACTGTAAGACTTTACATTCCTAGCATCAGTGGACAAGGTTCCAACTTCTCTATATCCTTAACATCACTTGTTATTACCTTTCACCCTTTACATTTCTTTATCCTTGTGTACCAAAGTCAGCTTCATCTTCGAACTCACTAGCGGTTTCTTACCCAGAGTTCATTACACTAGTCTGCCTTCCCATGGGGCTTTCTATCCTAGATATTAACATTTTTTATTTCAAGGGTCTCTAAGTGATTCTGTTTTCCCAGTGTCCTGCTCTTAGCTCACGAATAGGATCATCTTCCATGTAACTGCTACCGCTGTTGTGTGCTTTCAAGTCGGTTCCAACTCATAGCGACCCTATAGAGGTTTCTGAGGCTGTGAATCTTTATGGGAGCACAAAGCCTCATCATTCTCCTTCGGGTAGATTCAAGCTGCTAACCTTGTGGCTACCAGCCCAACACATAACCCGCTATGATACCAGGGCAATGTTCATATCATTCACTTAAAGTCTCTTTCTGTTTAAAAACTTTTCTGTCAGATGTTCTTACTTATTGGATTGGTATTTCAATTTTATGGTTTTGTGTTTGTTTGCTTTTCCCCCTTTAGATGCTAGGCAATTCCTTGATTTTAACATTTTTTGTTTGCCTGCCTGTGAATGCTGGTCTAATCTGAGTGACCTGTCTCAGTGATTGTAGGGAGGCCATCACAGACTGCTGGGTGGAACTGGCCACTTCCAAGGTGTGTTCCTAGATACTCTTCCCCCGTTTCACTTTATTATCTTCCCCCGGGTGACCCATCCTCCACTGTAGCTTCAAACACCACTTGTAAAGGGATAACTCCGGTACTATCTTCTGCCCTGACCTCACGTCTGAGCTCCAGAGCCATCTAGTCTCCATCCATCCAAGACACTTACCTCATTTGGTACTTACACATTGATAGTGCAACTATTTGATTAAAGTCACCCCCCCCAACACACATACACACAGACACAGACACCACGAGGACAGAAATTCCTGGTCACCCTTGTGCCTATTGTTGTTTATTCCTGTGTGACCAGTACTTAGTACAGTGCCTGGCACATGGCATGTGTCCAAACAAGAACTGATGAACGATGAGGAAAAACAGCTCTGGAGGCTTCCAATAGAAGACCCCGTGAAAGACCCCTGGGGTATGTCCAAGCAGAGGACTATGAGTTTGAATCTTCCCCTGATGTTGGGAGAGGTTGGTGTGTCTGAAGTGCTCAGCATAACGGCGGCCATTTTAAGTGCTCAAAGAATAGGACCCTGTGCTGTAGTCTGGCATTTACTGGCCAGAGTTACCTAAGGCCTAAAGGTTTTCTTTCTTTTAATCGTTTTATGTATTTTGTTCTTGTTGAGAATGTGCACAGCAAAACATGCACCAACTCACCAGCTTCTATATGTCCCATCCGGGGACACTGATTACATTCTTTAGGTTGTACAAGCAGTCTCCTTCCCCTTTCCTGAGTTGTTCCTCCCAGAAAGCTTAGCTCAACATGAACACAAACTCTTTGTCCCTTAAGGTTCCTATCTTGTCATTCAAGTTGCTGTTGTCAATTTGATCCCATATAAATAGTCCTTAGGACTCCTGGTGTGGTGCTGTAGAATAAGCTCTGGAATGCTAACTACAAGGTCACAGGTTCAAACCCATCGGCTCCTTCTTCCAAGGGTTGCTATGAGTTGGAATCGATGGCACTTAACAACAACAAATAGTCCTTAAAAATAACAGAATGCTCAAGGCAGACCTTGCTTACTAAACTAGACTATTGATTAGTTTTAACAAAACTTCGGGGGATATTTTTGGTTTAACACTATAAGATTACCACAGAACAGTAGTTTCAGGGTTCATTAAGTCTTCATGGCTCCAGGAAATCTGGAGTCCATGAGAATTTTAAAATCTGTTCTGTATTTCCCCCCTTTTGATCTTTTATGAAATTTTTGAATCAAAAACTTCAGTAATGGTATTCAGACACCATCCAGTTCTTGTCTCATGGCAAAGGAGACAGTTATTCATAGAGGCACACATCCCTATCTTTCTCTTATTCCTGATTCCCCTTCTTCCTCTGTTGTTCCAGGCAACTAGAGACTAATTTTGTGCCTTGGATAGCCATTTGCAAGCTTCTAAGACCTCAATACCTAAGGCTTTTCATGATTTTGCTGCCTGGAAGGCTTGCCATGGGCTTACATGATAAGTAAAGAGCCCAGGAGTCTTGTATACCCTGTCCAGTCAATCTGAATGGTCTGTGCCATAGGACAAGGACATCTCAACTCCCTACCACCAGCTGGTCAGCCTCGGGGTCAGAACGCCAGGACTCCAGGGTAGGCAGTTGACATGCAGTACCTTTGCAGCATACAGTCCCTCCTTGTAGGAAAAGAAGTTCAGCTTGTAGTCCTTCTTTGAGGCAGACAGGACATCAATGTAATCAAGTCCCTTAAGGGTGATGCTTAGGTCCGCCTTCTCTGGCTTCATCATTTCCACAATGACCCGGAATCTGAGGAACACAGGAACATATGGAGAGAGGATACAGAAAATGAGACCATTTGTCCCAAGGCGAGATGGGAAGTGCTCTCTACCCTTCATTTTATGGAAAGTGTGTAGCTCTAGGTGCAGAGATCTTAGTCATTACAGCGTCACCAACAATTACAGTCACTACTATTTCTTGGAAGTCCTGGTGTGGCACCATAGGATGAGCAGGCACTGACTGCTAACCACAAGGTTGGTGGTTCAAGCTCATCAAAAGCTCCTTGGAAACCCTACACAGGGTCGCTATGAATCGGAACTGACTTGATGGTACTTAATAACAACAATTATTTCTTGACCATCAATTGTGTGCTTTGCACATATTGAAAGCATTTAATTCTTACAGCGACTATAGGAAGTACTTATCACTACCATCCTCATATTACTGATGATGTCATAGAGGCCAAGAAAAGCAAGATAACATGGTGAGGTAATAGGATCGGTAACTGGCAGAACTGGGATTCAAACTCAGGTCTGTGTGAGCTGGGTGTGTTCAGCAAGTTACACCTTTGCCCCGGCCTTCGGCTCCTCTTCTATAAGATAAGGGGAATGGTCTGGTTGGCCTTAAGCTCCTCCATTCCCTAGATTCTACTCTACTTGAGCTACAAGTAAAAGATCCAATGGATAGCTCTCTCTAGCCAGTGACTGAGATGATAAGTCAGAGCACTCACTAATAACAATGATTACCATCACTTAATGACAACCGTGATTGTTGTTGTTGTTAGGTGCCGTGGAGTGGGTTCTGACTCATAGCAACCCTGTACAGGGTGTCCGAGGCTGTAAATCTTTACAGGAGCAGAAAGTCTCATCTTTCTCCTGCAGAGCAGCCGGTAGTTTCGAACTGCTGACCGTGAGATTAGCAGCCCGATACGTAACCACTACGCCACCAGAGATAAGAGCTGGTATTTATTGAGTACGTATTTTGTGTTAGGCATTGTTTCTGGGAATTTACAAGGAACCAGTTAACACTGATAGCACTGATGGGAGAATCTCTCTGGAGACTTCGCACTCAGGCTATGCCAGGTCACATCAGGGAACAAAGTCTCCGACTCCTTGAACCCACTTAGCCCTCTGCAGTGTTTTCCCGAGGTCCCAACCAGTGGGGGCCCAGGCTAGACAGTGGAAGGCCTCCCTCCACTGCCTTCACCTGCTCACCTCTGGGGCTTGTTCAGCCAGTTGGTGATGGGCAGGAGCTCGGTGTAGGGTGTCTTACATGGCACTTCACGGTAGATATTGGCCACAGCTTTGGGGAGCTCAGAAGTCCCATGTAAAGAATACAGCCATCCTGTCCCGTCTGGGAGGGGGAAAAAGAGGGTCCCCTGAGGGGAAGAAAAAATGGGGTGAGTCAATTCTAGCTCCTAACGATCCTACAACACACAACAGAACTGCTCCTTAGGGATTCCAAGACTTGAAATCTTTATGGAAGCAGACTGCCTTGTCTTTCTCATGGGGTGACTTGTGGGTTCAAAACTGCAGACCTTTCATTTTGTAGCCAAAATCTTAACCCACTGCACCACCAGGACTCCTTGAGAAGAGCAAGAGGGTTCCTTTACCAGATTCTACCTTCATGGTGTGGCACAGGGCTAGTTAGGGGCTCTGCAAAGAAACCTCATTTTTGGAGAGCCAGTTGGCAGTCTATTTTTTTTTTTTTT